CATGTAAGCGTTCTTACGTATAATTAAACAAATACCCATAAACTATTAAACTGGGCAAACCCACTTAAAGTTGATATGTAGGTTCGAACAATGAAATATTAAAATATTTAATTTCCAGAGTTCATCCAATTAATACCTTTATTAGAACGTAATTTCAGTCTTAATTATACACTTTTTATTAACGTCATTTAAACAACATTCATGGTATTAACCATAATTAACATTAATTATCCTTCATAATATTATGTAACATTTACATTCAATGATTAATAGTGTAAATGAAGAGAATGTTAAAAGAACAATTTAAATTCTTGGTGAACATTATTTCTAATAGTTGAGATCATGAGTCTATTACAGCCAGACTAACATGGGAAACCTGGAAACACTGAACGGTCGTTTCGTCTTTTGTGGAGCTCCTCAGCATAATTCATTTAAAATCTACTATTTACTAGTTATATTATTGATGGATATATCAAGATAAATCCCGACATGATGATAAACAACTACAGTCTCCTGATTTTATCAGTTATCCAACCAGTTTCTTAAGCAATTTCTACTTAACTTTAATGTACAATATGTTCATTTTGATTACTTTCACTAGAATGTACAGAATCTATATAAAAAACTGATTATGAAAAAAGTACATTTTGCGCATTTATCGTATTGTGGCTTAATTGTTGTTTTTTGTAAAGATTTCATTGATCATCATTAAACAGCCGAACTATATGTTTGTAGGGCTAGTGGGTGAGACTATAATTTATGGACGACATTTAAGCGACACTAGACTAACCTTGAGAGTGTCTACCTACTTACTAGGGCTAACTGAGCGTTATAAAGCAGTTTGAAGAATAAGGATTATAATTTACGGTCTGTGGTTAGGGTTAGAAATTATATTTAGGGTTTCCATCACGAATTGACATCAGCTATAATGCCAAAACTTTATTTAGCCAAATGGATGAGTGAATTTCGCACTGAAATCCATGACCTGTTATCGTAAATCTGATTGGTTCGTCCACAAATTATAGTCTCACCGTCCAACAAAATGTCACTGAGCCCTAGATAAATGATTCGGCAGTTCAGTCATTGAATATCTGATAGATTGTCGATCACTGTTAAGGTCAAGGACAACCAATGCGCATCAGCTAATCGTATGCCATGGACTGGCTCATACGATGGTGGTCTCAAAATTTTCTCTGTGCTCGTTCTTACTGATATATTCCCGTAATAACGTCCTTTGTGTTATACAGTCTTCAAAGTAGCCATAGTATCTCGATACGCTGAAGGGGTTATCCACGTTAGCTGCTGACTGTGAGGTGTGACTTCAAAGTTAGCTATTGGTCACACCATTCCCTTCTAACTCGAGTAGGCCTCCAATCATTTGACATAAACCATCCACATTAGTGATCTATATGTTATTCTATCTTTGATAAAAAAAATAATCTTGAGGAACATCTGTAAGATTTTAAAATAATTTTGTGAATGTGAACCTCTGTGAAGTTCGAGACAAGGATGAAATAAAAGTTTAATGTTACCTATCTTTTAAAATTTATTCAACTGATTTTGATCAGTATAAGAGTGTATATTACTTCCATGTTTAACCCTCTTAAAAAACATTATAGTGTTTACTAATCACTAACTTTGAGACGAATTTTTTGTAATTCTATTGACATGTTATGATCTATGAAGTAAAAATCATATGAAGAAGAGGGTGTGGTTGTGCTGTATCATGAACTATTGAAAACTGAAAATTCGATCAGCCAATTCCAAGTCATTATTCTACAATCTTCACACTAACCCCTATGTCAAACAATTCAATGTTAGCTCTTGTTTATTATTGTAAATACACCTTGTTATGGGTCTCAAAGTATAAACACACTCCAGTTTATGGCATTATCATATATAAAGTGATTAGTGATTAGCTCGTGTAAATTAGTCAATCACAGTATCGTAGTGAACAGAACATGGGTGGGAACAATAGAATGTAATTAGCACAAAATTACAAAGTTACTCGGCAAAATAGAAAAACCAAATAGTAAATCGTTAATTGGCAAAATATCATTCCATCATATCAAACAGGACTGTTGCCGTTGCAAACATCAATCCATTGTCTCACATTTCATGGTTCATGCGTTTTCTTACAAATTGCATTGTGTTCTCGCTCTTCCTTTCTTGATTTTCCTCCATCTTCTGCTGCCAGACATTACGTTCTTTAACTCGCGCTATATACTACTTATGTCAATATAAGTACCACCCCATTCAAAGCAGTCGTTCTTGCGGTGGTTCATGCTCGCCTTGCCACATTCTTCGTCTCTGCAGTCTGTGCTACGCTCTCCGTCAAAATGTCGAGTCTGTGGCGCACTGACCTCCATAGCTCCGTCGATCTGCCGGGGCAACAACATCCGACATCCACCTGGGACGTTCAACACCCGTGCTTCACCGGCCTGCTAAGCCATCTACATCTGATATCCGTCCAGCAGCCGCACGTCCCTCCGCTCCTCTCCGTCGACAGCACCCGCTACAGTCAACGCCGCCCCGCCAGAACACTCCACTCGACGCCACCTCTCCGCAACAGACTACCCCAACAAGCACCCCAGCTCTAGGCCTGCAACGGCGTTCACAGAACAGCACCCCCTCCTCTCCTGGTCGACAGCGACACCAAATATAGCGAACAGAACACGGGTGAGGACAATTTGCCAGACATTACGTTCTTTAACTTGCGTTATATACTACTTATATCAATATAAGTAGCACGCACCACAGTATTATTCTTAATAAAATGATTCTTAGAAAAAATCAATAAAATTCGTCTAGATTTGAATTCTAATTATGTAATATGTAAATATTTCACATTTATTCTTTATATCATTAACGCCTACCTTAATCTCCACGATGTCTGTGAACTGTAAACATATTGATTCTTGAAAATGGTTATAGTCTGTTTTCTATAATGAATGAATCATGTATTTACATAACTATTCTAACTGATGGCTATAGTTTCAAAATGTTTATTAGACATTATAAAAATGTATTCATTTATAGGATAGTAAAAAACAACAACTAAGAATTGTATTATGCAATTCAAAGGATTATCCAATAAATTGTCATACAATAGGACAAAGCGATCATCCAATAATTCCAGATTTTCCATAATGGTCTAGCTTCAATTGAATCATGATCTCAAAATATTGAAATTACTATAATATTCATCAAAAAAACCCTTCTGATATTTGTTATTCAACTGTAAAATTGTATATGCTTATATAAATGTACATTTTTATCCAAGTTCTTTAAGAATGTTAGTAGTATTGAAGGAATTTCATTTACAATGATACATGGTTAACTTCTCATGATTTTGATTAGTGGTTTTATAAACGTTTTACATATAGAAGTTAGATTCCTTCTTAATTACTAAAGATATATAACAAGTTAAATCGATGGAACCTACTAAGTCTTTACTGAAAAGAGATAAAAATTTCCAGCTTATAGTCAACGTCACAAACATTTATGGATAAAGATGGAACCATCATCATGACATAGGTGCTCAAGTTAAACATTAACACTGTTGGGTGTCGGCTCAGTGGTCTAGAGGTTAGGCGTTCGCGCGCAAGACAGTAAGGTCCTGGGCTGGAGTCTCTCAAGGCGGGACCATGGGTGCACATTGCTGAGGAGTCCCATACTAGGACTAAACGACCGTCCAGTGCTTCCAGGTTCTCTATGGTGGTCTAACTTTAACTGATGAGTTCAAATATTCAATTAATAATTTTGTTTATAACAACCAAGTTTATTTGAGTGTTAGCTCATATAAATTCAGTGTTTGTTATCTAGAAGATTGATTCTGTGTTAAGGTGGAAAATTTATCAAAGTTTCATGTTCTCGATTAGCAAGAAAAATAGTCTTGAAGTTGAGCATGTATGTTTATGACAGCCTATATAATGTTTTAAAGTATATTGATGAAGACTCGTCTTCAAAAGATGAGATTAAAAGTGAGAAAAAGTTGCTCATGAGAATTATCAGACAGATATATAAGATTTGCAGCCAATGGTAGCATAAAACTGGGAAGTTAAATCTAAAATCTATCTAGTGACCGACATTCTTTAGAATAGTATCTCGACCGGTTGTTGAAATACTCGACAACCGATAGATGTTTTATGGCAGATTAAGTATTGATAATTTTGTACACTAATTCACCTGGGGATGTAGTCTAGGTTAAGGCTGTCTTCGGAGGCAAATCGTTAAAGATTGTTTCATGGTTGACCATAGGCTGAAGAAGATTTATATAATAGAACACTGGTGATGAAAGCTATTGAATCTTTGCAAACAGATACAAGATTAACTATAAGACCAAAAACATTACCGAAAGTCATACATATGAGGTTGGAATATGTATGCTCATGCCTAACTGCTGCCTACATCGACACGCGATGTTCACTAACGCAGGAGTATTTTGGAAAAAAAGTGAGGATAGACCACTTGAAGACGCGATATCAGTTCAAGAAGTTACTGATCGCTTTACGTAACGATGTTGGCAGGTATAGACTTCCTGGTTAGGGTCATTGCGGTTGTCGTAACCAATTATCAGATACGTTAAGTAACATTAGTCATATCATTAGCAGTGGCGTAAATATTCTGTGGTCCACTGATCGGAATGCGATTAGGATGAACGTATTAGTACGCCATTCAACTCCGTATATTACACCTAGATTAACCGCGTTAGTGTGACAACGGTAATAAGAAGCCAAATATGGTTTTAGTTGGATGAATTTATTTCAGACACACGTTTATTCAAGCAGTTAATCAGGGAAACAAGGCGGAAAAGCAGAACGAAGAGGGAAAACCTCTCAATTCGTTTTGACAAAGAGTAACTCAATATTTATAATCAGACAAAAACAAACTGATATATGATTAATAGGGTAAGAGATGTACGCATACATGCGCTCATATAAAAACAGTCAAGGTTAATAAGCAAATAATTGACAAATTCAAAATAAGAGTCATGATGATAAGTTAATTGGTCTGTCTGGAAACTAGAATAATCCATGTGTGCTTGACCTAGTACTAGACACAACAGATGCATTCATTCTTTGTCTAGCCTGAAATTTTTAGTTTTACAATAATCTTGTGCACTTTGTTTCACAAATATAAACTTTCTTCTTGAAGTATTTTGTTTATGCTAAATTTTTCCTACTACTGTCAACGCTGTCACTATTTCTAACATTCTGCCATTTTTCTTGATAACTTCGTCGCACTGTATTGATGTTGTATGGTAGCTAAACGCGATAGACATATGTGTCAGGCCCATCATTATTTATAAATAAATAACTGATACATGTGAATTTCGTCAGACAGTGGATGAATGGTTGCACAGTTATTCATGGATCGATGGAAGTTAGACATTAACACCGTAGGATGCCATCTCGGTGGTCTAGAGGTTAAGCGTCCCCACGTGATACCGAAAGTCCTAGGTTCGAATCCTGTCACTGTGATCGTTGATGCACACTGCTGAGGACGAAACGGCCATCCAGTGCTTTCAGGTTTTCCATATTTGCCTAGCTTACATCGACTCATGAACTCAACTATTAAAAAGCATTAGTTCATTTAAGGAAAAGTACAGTACGCTTTTATGTGATTAATGAAAAGATATTTACTTTAAATATTGCGAACGTTTTACATTAAACTAGTTAAGATAATTCACTTGGTGTTGTTTACTTGTATCTTCCCATTGTTATTTAGGACTGTAATTGATCAGTCTCTTGTTGGCATATGTGCATCCTGTGCAGATTGCCTCGATATTGCCTGAAGTCACATAACCCCTAGAATACAGCTCTGTATATATTAACTCACATTGATCATTGATAACAACACTAGATTTAGTAAAATAATCCTAATAAAATGTTTTGGTATCAGATGTTATGTCTCACACACTGAATATTAGATGGTAGTTTTTTAAATTTGATATAGACTGATTTTGTTTATTTCAATGAATGTACAACTTCAATTATCTAACAAAATCTACCGTTGATATTAACAATCCTTATAGATTTTAATCTGTAAAAATGTTAATTATATAATTAATTTCAGAAAGGGTTTTTGTGGATAATGTAGTAAATTCCATAGTTGAGATCATGAGTCAATTGAAGCTAGATCACAATGGAAAACCTGGAAGAACTGAATGGCCATATCGTTTCAACTGACTCGTGATCTCAACCATTGAAATTACTACAATCTCCATAAAACCCCTTATGATATTAATCTTCATGTGCTCACTAGTGACTGACGTCAAGAGATATTTCCTGGAGTTCTAATGAGAAATCGTGACTAATGGACTTCAATCAGGTCTGTTGTGAGAAAGTAATTCACCGAAGACAATGGTGGACGGTGTGCAATTTCGTAAATTGCTTCAAATTAGACATTAAAACCGTTGGATGTCAGCTCAGTGGCCTAGAGGACAAGCGTTCGCACGCGAGACTGGTAGGTCCTGAGTTGAAATCTTGCAAAGCGAGATCGTGAATACGCACGTGAAGCGGCCATCCAGTGCTTCTGGGTCTTCCCTGGTGGTCTAGCTTCAATTGACTCATGGTCTCAACTATTGAAATATAATTATTGACTATTATATGGGTTTATGGAAATTTTTCTCATCAAGTACATTGGAAGATATTGACATGATATTACTAATAGCTTGAAATTAATCACGGAAACCACTGATCTATAGACTAATTGTTCAAATATAACAAACGTCCTGTGTTCGATTTCTGATGATGCGTTTATTATTATTATTATTATTATTATTATTATTATTATTTTAACACATAGATATTGGTACAAGGAGGCACCAAATACATATGCGCCACACAAATCTCATCTGATATGTGTGAGGGCCGTGATACTACCCGGGTGCCCAAAACGAAGCAGGTAGGTTTCTTAGTGGGCCACTCCTCGAGCCTTCGACCTGAAGGTCTGATTCACAATGCAGTGGAGCATCGTAAGGAGATGCAGTCCCATGGAAGCCGGTGACCGACAATTGGTTCATACGCCATTTGTTCCTTCAGGATACTGGAGGCCATGTGCATCATTGGTTTGGAATCCGGTTAAAGCACCGGACATTCTCCTTTCGTCCTCTCAATTTCGTAAACAACGCCCCTGCTACGAGAAAGCAGTGAGTAGGACTTCCGTGGCAGAGGCTATATACCTGTGGCCATGTGAGAGCATTTCGAGTAGGAGAGCGCACTCTCCCTACTCTCGGCCATACCATGGCATTTGGAGGGCTGATGATGCGATTGCAGATACTCACCGCTAACGGTTCCTAAACTACGATGAAACAATTATTCAATGCTCTCCGTATTTCATTGGCTATTTAACCATATTCATTCTATGATATAATTATGTAGTGTGTAATTAAGTTTATTCACCAAACTAATAGTTTTAAAACACCCATAACAGATTTCTAGTTTTATCCTTACCTCTTAAAAACTATTTAATCTGTGCAGAATTACTGTTATTAATCGGTTACTATTATTTCCACATTATATTGATAATAATCATTATTCAATAGTTTTCAAATAAAATTATATATTCCTTATAAGCTTTAACCTTTCAATTAAGTAGTATATTTTATTTAACCACTTTGATAATTATTTATTAACCTTGATTTGAATTAATTAGATTTCTGTAACAAAAAAAAAGAATGAATGTTGGCCATTCAATTAGATTTTGCTTTCTCTTGTTTTTTTTTTTTCATTATATACATTATGCATGTATTCTGTGTAAGCTTTTTTTTACATTGGAGAAAAAGAAAAAAGAGAGAAAAGGAAAGAAAAAAAAGAAAAACTGCAATAACTTGTAAACTTCTTTTAATTATCTAAACAAGTAAATAAAAATCATGTTAGAAGGTCATTGCACTGGAAAAATGAACGGATATTTACTACTACTACTACTACTACTACTACTACTACTACTACTACTTTTGGTCATTTTCTTAAACACTAATTATTTATTCTCCATATACAAAGAATAAATACACTTAGAAATCATTTCAAATCGTACTTTTCTTTTCTTTTGTGCATGTATGTATCTGGGTGGGTGGGTGGTTGGTTGATTGATTGAGTGTGTTCGTATTTCTGTTTAAAATGGTCACATTAAAATGATTCGAATTTGAAATGTTTAAGGTGAAGGATAAAGTTACTAAGTGAAATAGGTATTTTTTTATTGTTTTTTTTTCAAATAATATTTTTTCTCAGGTCAGTATGTTAACCTACTAAATCAATTTGTTGTGATTTATGTATGTTTAATGTATATTTTCGTTATATTTTTATACCACTGACAACATTGGTATAAAAGGTTTTTTTTTTTGTTTTTATTTTTTGTTGTTGTTAAAAATTACATTTTAAACTTTTATTTCTAACATTTTCAAGTACTATTCGTACTGTTGGTATATAAAATCTAAATTTATATTAATTACAATGGTGCAATTTCGTGGATTAGTTGAAGTTAGACAGTAACACTGTTGGATGTCGGATCAGTGGTACAGTGGTTAAGCGCTTGCATGCGGGACTGATAGGTCCTGGGTTTGAATCTCGCGGGGGGGGGCGGGATCGTGGATGCGTACTGCTTAGGAGTCCCATACTAAGACGAAACGACCATGGTTGTCTAGCTTCAATTGACTCATAAATTCAACTAGTAATCTTTAATGGTAAAATTTCTAAGTTTTATAAATATTTTGATGAGACTATCATCTATGAATGAACTCGATCATGTATAACAATAACAGGTTTCGGAGTTTCACTCATCCGTTTGAGTAAATAGAGTTTTGGTATTATAGTTGGTGCCAGTTCGTGATGAAATCTGAAATCTAATTCCTAACCTTAATCATCAACCGTAAATTATAATTCCAGTTCCTCACATTAATTTATAAACCCTTATTTGGTTATCAAGTGGACACTGTTTAGATCAGTCTGCGCCGCTCAAAGGTCGTCCATAAATTATAGTCTCACCGATATTTTAGCATAGAATCAATATAAAAGTGAATAAATTAATTATGCAACGTGAATTACTCAACTGTTAATGTTGAGTAAGCTCTATTTGATTGGTCTAACTATGACAGACTTTGACACTGTAATTTAACAAAATAATCAATTGTTATATAACCATACTATTTATAATATGTGAATACATTACAGTCGTCTACCTCGTATATCAAACTTCTTCGTCATTTCATTCTGTTATGTATAAATGATATTAAGTATATCAGTTCCTTAGTTTATTTCTCAATGATTTCATGAGGTTAATATTAACCTATGGATTACTATATATCCTTGATACCAGTCTAGACGGAATAAAATTAAAATGTACAGTTTGATTAGAGGTATAGGCTTCGCCAAAATCGGTACAACAAATAGTATCAATCGATTTACAATAATATGTGATCGGTCAAGTTTTCTTTAATCAGTAATGAAAGATGGTATTAGTACGAATTATGAATTAAATATATTTTGACTAACATTTCCCATCATCTGACAAAGACAACATATGTTTCTTGCAAACTTATTAAAAACAAATATATGTAATTTAATAGTGAAGTTCATGAGTCAATTGAAACTAGACAATCGTGGAAAACCCAGAAGAACTGGACAGCCGTCTCGTCCTAGTTATGGTACTCCTCAGTAGTACGCATCCACGATCACACCTCATGAGATTCGAAAACAGGACCTATCAGTCTCGCACACGAGTGCTTAACCACTTAACCAATATTAGTTAGTGACTATCAGTAGAACTCAGAACTTAAATTTCATCCTATTTTGAGACTAGTTTAAATTTACTTAAAAACATATACACTTATGTCAATAGTGAGGTATTCCGTACAGCAACCATATATGCCAAAACTGAAAAATTTTAAAAATTTTTAACATAAAAAGACGGGAAGATTCAAACCTTTAAAAACAAAATACTCATCATATTTATGTAATTCACTTAAATTTGTACTTTGTAAACTCTTAACATGAAATGATTATAATATAATAGGCAAAGATGTGTAGTATCTAGGAGTGGAATCCAGGACGCGCTTTTGAATTGAAAGATATTGGGTTTGGTTCCCCGAGTGAACATCAACTCTAGAATGCAGGTACATCTAGCTGACGAGTCATAAAATAAGATTTAATATGCGTCCTGGATTCCACTTCTAGTCACCATCCATCTCTGCTTATAATGCTCGTGATTCAAGGCAATATCGATACTATTCGCACAAGATACACATATGCCAATAAGAGACTGATCA